ATAACTTGCATTACGACACCATTAATAATAATCAACTACGACCAAATTAATAATTACCTCTTCAGAACTTAGAAGGCCTGGCCTCAATACCGTGTGATAAATTAAACATTTTGCTTTTCCATCAGTATTTACAAAAAATAGGCTTCTTCCATGCAGGATTGAATGGCATCGTTTAAAAAAAAATGCACGTTAAGAGGCTAAAAAACCTGCCCACTTTGTCTTGACCTATTAAGAAATGGCCCGCGCCCGAGAGACAGTCGGCTAATTTGTTCCTCTCTGTCGCGACGGCTTTGCGGTCGAGGTGGAGGGGGAACGGCACCGGTGCGCTGGGTTCAGCACCGGAGCGCACCAGCACCAAGTGCTGGAGTTGGAGAGGCCTGGTGTATACGTACGTCGACACATCATTCAATGAGATAAATAAATACAATCAACAACAATTTCGGTTATAAAATAGCGTAATGACTTCGTTACTTATAAAAAATGCTCAAAAATGAAATAGTAAATATGTGCCCAATAAGCCAAAGAAGCTCTACATGAATGCACACATTCATTACTTACCTAGGGGTTTTTTCATTCTGATTATTTACCTAGGAGTAGAAATATAACTTTTCTTTAGAGGAATGTGGTAAAAAAGTATTTTAATAATTCATGAACAGAGCGCGATCCTCAGTCGTCCCTACAATTGTAGGACGCCTGTATGGCCTCCTTGATTTTCATAGTTTCCTACTGTTCCATGTCAGCGCTCTATTTTGAGGTTATGTTACAAATATCTATTTGCATCAAATTGTTCATTCTTTTGATTTATATCACGTTGTCAGCCTGAAATTTCGTACAAATCAAAAAGAAAACATAGCTTCACAATAGGAGAGCGCTGACGCTAACACGAAAGAGTATAATTCTATTCTATTATTCTACGAGTATTAACTATTCGTCATTGTCCGTCAGAGCGGTCCGTGGGATCTTCGCTCTTTGTTAAAGTATCGTAGGTCAGTAGGTCTGTCAGGTCTGGTTGCCCAGATACCAGACAAAGTCAGGGATAAAGAAAGGAAGAAGAAAGAAAGGAAGAAAGGGGGAAGAGCAGAGAGGGTGAAGTGCGCCACTTAAAGGGATGCCTTGCTATTGTTAACCGGTATTCGGTTATTTTAAACTGATCCAAAAATTAGTTTGTGTGTGGCAAAAATCGCAATTTTGGTTGGACCTAGATTTGATTTTGATCACAGTGTGAGCCGCGGTCTTGTGTGCTTGCGAACTTGCTCGACTGTGTTGTCTACTGACTCACGCAACAGAGGGTTGCTGTGCGATTCCGCTTAACTATAACGTAACTGCGCCTGATGTTTGATGTAGTCCCTTACGTAAGGGATATCGAGGTCTCTGTGAAGAGTCTCGTTGGAGACATACCATGGTGCGTTAGTGATGGTTCGCAAGGTTCGGTTCTGCAAAATCTGCAGATTACGCATATGCGTTTTGGCAAGAAAACACCATGCTGCACATGCGTAAGTAAATCACCTAGTTTAGGTACAGAAACAAACTTTTTCAATTGATCCAGAGATCAAAACCTATGATCCCTATTAACAATGACCAATTAGAAAGCATTCTCGTAAAACTGCATCGAAAATTGCCAATCGGAGAGGAGTCTCTAAACCCTGCCCGAATCGTGGATCAAATTTAATTATAATGCCTAGTGTCGACTGTCGATTAAATTACTGTCTAATGAATCACTGTTTGACACACACACCATATGTGTGTGCGCGATATTCATGCAAAGTATTGGAAATAATATAGTTGTTGTTGAGTGTCAGGTGAATGTTAGGTTATGTAGTGGTTTTTAATAGTAAAGTAAGTAGGTAATAAGTTTACTACAGTTTCATCCGGAGTGTCAGATTATTATAAGTAATCTCGAATCGTTATTTTCTGTGGCGATTACATCGATATTTAACTATAATTCTGCGATAAATTCATCTTCATCAAACTCTGACCAAGACGTGGAAGTTGTTGAACAGCATCGTAGCCATCGTGCTAGGAGGCCCAGAATCGTTATTATCTGAATCTACATTCAAATACATACCCTCTGGCCGGCAAAAAAAGAAAGAAAAAAGGGTTTCCATTTTATATTATCGAGACTTTATGTTATTACAGACCTTTCTATTTGTTGTATAATTTCTTCTTCTTTCTTTCTTCTTATTATTTCTACCATTTTTTATAAAATTTCATAGAGCAAAGGCAACAGGATACGTTCGTCTAAAGCAGATAAATGTTTTTAAAATAATTGTAACCCAGAAACTTCTCTATTTTCCTTGAACGACGATTAGGTACAGCAACAGAAACGTGATAATTAATAATAAGATAATTGAAGAGTTTGTTGAAATTTACACCTAATTAACAACCAATATATCCTTTTTTCAATCTTCTCAGGTGTTTTATGAGGCGAATTGTCAATGCAGTTTCACGAAAACGCTTTCTAATTGGTCATTGTTGATCCGGTTCAAGTGGAAAATTATCTTTTTTGGCTAAACCAGGAGATTTATAAGGAATTTCTTGATTTAATATGAGGATGGGGTCCTTATTACACAAGTTGTATATTTTTTCGCTAGTTTGACAGATATTATAGAAGAAATTGACTATATGCATTTGATCCATTACGAGAAAGACGTCTTCTCATTGGTTTATTATGATCTGAATCAAGTTTTAGATCTCGCGGGTCAATAGTAAAATCTGGCCTAAAGGTCGCATGTCCCTTTTTTTCAACTGCCTGTTTAAAGCAGATTTCAAAATCATGTTCATCTGATTATTTTATGGTGTGTATAGAGATGACTAAAAAACAATGTTATTAATTTTTTGTCAAGTAATGCATTTTTGTGCATCTTATTGCGCATTTTTCTTCAATTGTAAGTTGTTAACAAAGGATAGTAACATCTCTAAAATTGTATGTGAATATTCCACTTTTGAGAATTGAATTGAGAAGGTGATTACTTTTATGCTCATCACTTTTTCTCTTGGAAAAATCTTTGATTTTCTTGAACCCTCATTTTACAGCAAATTGAGTTTTCAAGAAAAGCAACGATTTTATGAAGAGGTAAAGTGATAAGAAAAAAAGGTGGAATATTCACATACGATTTTAGATCTGTCACCATTATTTGTTAACAAGTTATGATTGAAGAAAAACATACATAAAAATGCATTTCTTTACAAAAAACATTGTTGAAACAATCAGACGAAAAGTATCAAAAATAGTCCTCCAAACAGGCTGTTGAAAAAAGGCACATGCGGCGTTGACTTTACGGTTAAAACGCTCTGTTTATTTATCCGCCGCTCTTAACGGAGTAATGAACCGGATCCAGTTGATCAGATAACCGGGTGGTATTTCGCCACTGATGTTTCACGTGGAGTTTCCCGGATGGAAAGCTAAAGAATTTCCATTAAAGTGTCACTGGTGACGTCTCACACTATGCACACATTAAAAGCGAATAAGATTAATGAGCATATGCAAAGTTACTACCTCTCCAAGTTGAATTTGTCGTCTTACTCGCGAAGTTCGGTTCAAATTGGCTAAAGTCGTTGAAAATTACAAAGATTCTAGGTTTCGCTCGCAAGAATTACAGGTCTAAAGACTTTTGTAGTTGTATTCTGTCGAGACAAACGACTTCAATCTAGGGTTTTAGTATGATAGGCTGTATTCCGGCAAGTTTGCTGTTTAGCATCAAAATACGAATGATTTGACTAGTTTTTATCATATATCTGTACGCTATGTAACTAAAACTTTGCGGTGGGTTCTTGGACTATTACTGGTTTACAAAAACAGGGAACATCCTTGGTTTTAGATTTGCTCGTAGATGACTGGGCATTCAGCTAAGGATCCTCGCGTTTCGCTCATAGGTGACTCTAGATGTACCGAGGCGATATTGCCAAACTGACATAAAATGTTTAAAAAATGCTACATTTATACTGAACTGAATGGAGTTCAGTTCCTTCCACGGTTTTTGGTAGTTACGTCAAAAATCCATACGAAATAACTAAACATATCATCTTAAGGCCTGGCTGTCTAACTGGCAATAAGCAATTTGTGTTGAAAAATTGCAAGCTGATCCTTTTTTGTTACTAAACTAAATCGTGTCAAATTCCGCGTAGCGCCCTAAAAGCTAAATAACCATGTGATAACTGACTGGTTTTGAGAATAAGTTGCGTATACATGATGCAGAGAGCACTCGCGAGAAGTGTGATTTATAAGTTTGTAGCTGCAAACGGATGGTACTTATCCTCACCTTGAATAAATGTCAAAACAAAAGTATTATCTATCTGACAGCACCCTATTTATATCTGATAATAAATAAAAACAGCACGTTTTGATTCCCTCAGCTGTTTTGTGAACGCCATGTTTTGGATAAGATCCCTTATCTCTCTTTAATTCATTCGCCTTGTCTATGTCTTGGTATAATGACTTTTTCAGGTGAAATATGTTAATCAATGTTTGCTGTTTGGCCCATACAAGATGTCCCATTTTCAACTCCCCACTTAAATATTTCGAAAACTACGCATCCTGGAAAACAACAAAAGTTGTGGGGTTTCGAGGGGACTAAATGGTGGTGAATTTTACCATGACCTTCACCACGACCTGCAAGGTCATTTCAAAGTTAAGCAATATTTCTTTAATGGAACCCTCGGTGTTTTACAACGGAATCGAAAGAAAAGGAAATCCTTCGGTCGAATATGACCTTGACTATAACCAACCTTCAAGGCCATTTCAAGCTCGAGTAGAAACATTGCAAACAATTTCGATGTTCGACAGCACAGTCCTCACGTCTGTGGGGATCACTCAAAGGTGTCCTCGACCATGATCTTGACAATGACCTTGCCATGATCATGAACATGGCTTTGACCATAGCCTTGATCATTACCTTGACCATGACGACCATTTGTCATGACCTTCAAGGTATTTCTATATTCTTCACTAATATTGCTCACATATTCTGGAACATCCTGTACAAACATACATTTTATTCCAGGTGATAGCCCGGCATGGTGAACCTGCGCCGAGACTGTGCAACAAGGACCCGCTCACCATAAAGAGCGGCACATACGTTTTGGAACTATTTCCAAATGCGAAGTTCATCTTCATGGTGAGAGATGGCAGGGCAACAGTGCACTCCATAATCACTAGGAAGGTCACCATTACTGGATTTGACCTCACTAATTATAGGTATGTATATGTGGGCATACAATCCAGTCAAAATAAAAATTAGGTTTACAAAAATTCGCACAAACCTCTTTGTTTTATTTGGGTAGAAATGTCAAGAATATCACGTTTAGGATACAATTTTTTATAAAAGTTGTTCAATTACTTTTATTCTTTGAGTCACCGTTTTTTGAGATTTTAGTGACTCTCAAATAGTCTTCTGTTCTTATGCGGTTTACGGTTCAATATGAACATATATGTGGAAGCATTGATGTATGCGACTTACACTAAAATACACACCAGGATGTGTACCAAAAAAGAGTTTGTGATTTTCCTAAAAATGCATTCCATGAGCAACCAAAGGTCTATATACTAAACAATATGCTCGAAAACTCGAAAAGGATGGTAATGTTATTTATACGTATCATTCAAACACATCTGCTGAAGGTGGGCTCAAAATAAATGAACGGGAAGTCGTATTTTCAGAAAAGATCGTAACCACTTGAAAATTGCTTCGGTCTCAACCTCAAAAATAGCTTGTACCAAAATAGTAGAGGATGCCACTGTAAAACTTGCTCAATTGTTTCACCGCTGCTTAAGCACTCTTTGATTTATAGGATCTAAGCTACTGCTACGGCGCATACGCGGCATTTTTCACCGTTATCGATCGTTTGATATGAACTGAAATATGCGAGCAGACAACAGTATTTTTTTCAAAATTTTACCTTAATTTTCTTGTGCTGAGAACTCCAATGCCTTCCGAAACAAAAAAATCCGCAAAAGTAATGTTTTTTGTAAAGGAAAAGGATCAACCTATCGCTCTTTATGACTGAGCCACAGAGAGACGCCAAGTTATAAACGATCATCAACATTATGGGCGATTATTACACTCTGATTACAGGGCAGGAAAATTTGCTATTTAATTTGATTGAAAATGCACCTCATACAAGCTCGCAGAAGCTTTGACAGAAACTACCATTCAAATATGCGTTTAATTGCGCAGTTTGCTATGAAGTTTCAACCACTGTAAAGCACGCCGTAGAGTATGTATGCACAGATCTCTGTCTGCTTATCCGAAAATATGCATAGAGAGAGTAGGGTAAAAGTTTGATAGGGCACACAGATTCACAGATGAGAGGTAGCTTCTACTGAAATGAATTATTTATTTGGCTCGTGTTTGAGTTAAAACATTATTCAATATAAAGCGGTACGGTTCAAAATATGGCGGACCAAAACGCGAGAATCAGCGTTTCTTCCGATAAATAGTTGCCTTAGATTAGAGAATATAAAGGGTATCTTATTATTTAAAGCGTGGATTTCTGTGGAAAATAACAAATCTGCTTATACAGCCTTGTATTCCAGGTCCACTGAATGAATTTTTAAGGTGTTCAGCGAAATGCGTTAAAATACCCTATATTTAAAAAGGTTACCTATTAAGTTTGCGCGATTTTTGACTTTGAATTATGTTTAATTCTTTTGAAATAACTTCTGCACGTACGATTATTGATGTTTATAATATACGGGGTGTCCCAATATTCCGTGGACATATAGGACCCACGTATTTTTAGACTCAAAATAAGCCAATTGGACAAGATTTACCTTCATGCAAAAGTGCTTCGTTACTCCGTTAGAGGGAGTCAAAGTTTTCAGATTTTTGAAAGATATTTTAAGAACCGATAGTCCGATTTGAATTAAATTTGGAAGATTTTGCTGGACGTTCTAATATATGACTTTTACCAAAAACTCTAAGGGGTTCGAAAACTACCCCCACCTTTACATAAGAAACTATGCGAGATGCCCTGTTTTATAAGAGACAAAAAACGAAGAAAGTAAAAGATTATTTTGGGTAAAGAAAATTGTCTTTGGGAAGCTGAGAAAAACTTCTCCTATAATTTATGTAGGCGTGAAGGTAGTTTTCACCCTTCTTGAACCCTTTCGGGTTTTTTGTAAAAGTCAAATGTTAGGACGTCTAGCAAAACACATGTGTTTCAAATTTCATTCAAATCTGACTATCGGTTCCAAAAATATCTGAAAAAAATGTGTTTTTGAAAGGAAGACTTTGACGCCCTCTAACGGACAAACGAAGCACTTTTGCATAGAGGTAAACCATGTCCAATCGAATTATTTTGAGTCTAAGAATACGTGGTACTTGTATGTTCACGGAATTTCGGGACACCCTGTGGAAGCCCATTAATCTGAAAAAGACTTGTGTATTTTACGGCATCATTGCTGACAAAAGGGCTTATTCCTTTTAATTTGTATATTTTTAATTTATCGTGAATTAGTTGAGTGATTTCGATGAAACTGTGTGCATCGACAGTACCTAATGTGTATTGGTTATATCTGCCTCATTTATCCTAAAGGCGGCACTATTAAATTTTAACAGGGTATTTCGGAGCTTAACCTAGGACGCCACGGTGTGAACAAGGGGCTTTCAGTGGAAAAAATATTTTTCTGTCAGTAGGCAAGTATTTGCAACTAGACAAATTCGCCAAATAGTAAAACTCACAGAATTAAACAGAAATATGGGAATACCCTTGGATAGCCTTTATTTAAAGAATATTTTCTTTACAAACACTTGTATATATTTTGCTTCACACGGATCATAATATGCAGGATCAATGTTAAATCCAAATCTTTCATTTTCTATCGAAAATTAAATATTTGCGATTTGCTCTTAATTTCGAAATAAATAAATTTGGGTAGCTCTGTGGTTAGCACGTTGAGCCAGCAACCCTAGGCTCGTGGGTTCGAATCTCCGCCTCGGAAATTAATTCCTTGCCGTGGATGTTGTGTTGTGTTTTGTCTATAGCACGCACTTGGGTGCAATATTAACGATGGTACATCTGGAGCTGGTTCTGTTACTAGTAGATAGCTCGTAGCGTAGTACAGTGTTGGTACTACGAGGTCGGCAAAGGGGTCAAAGGTGGCCTAGTTGCCAGGCTTCGCCTCCCCACCATTTTTAATACAACAATTTCATTGCTTTAGTACAGCAAACTTGAAGCACCCGATATTTCAAAGCGCCGTTTTTCTGTTATAGACAATGTATGAAGAAGTGGAATAGCGCAGTAGAATCAATGAACAATCAATGCAAGGAATTGGGCCCTTCGAAGTGCCTGCGTGTGCCATATGAGCAATTGGTGCTGCATCCACGAGAATGGATGGACAAAGTCCTCAGGTTCTTAGATGTCCGCTGGGATGACTCGGTGCTTCACCATGAAGACTTTATAAATAAGGGAGTAAAGCTTAGCAAGTAAGTACAAACACAGTGTTTTTCCTTAATTTGTTAGACATATATACGTATATATATATACTTATAATGTTTTGCTGATATTTGCGATATCACGTACTAAGAATATTCGCATTAGGTGATTTGGCAAAGTCCTATAGCATATCCAATAAAAATATGTTCTAAGAATGTGTTCTTCAAAATTTTCACACTTTCTAAGAATATTCTCATCATGTGATTTGGCAAAGTCTTCCCAGACAGCACACATACATGCAATGGTTGTTTTTTAGAAATCCACGGTGGATATAATAATAATAAATGTCTTTATTAATCACATCAGTGAGGCTAAATTTAGCCAAAGGGCTATTCTTACACTTAACCTCACTCTGTGTGAGAGAAACTAACAAAGATAAACTCGATACACAAACAAAACAAGAGGAAATGGTGGTGTGATTCCGCTTTCCTTTTCTTTAAGATAATTAAAGAATTAATAAAAACTATAAATGAAATCTAAGGGACAGCCAATGCAAAACAGCTGTCTAGTGGCGTGCAAATTTAGACCCTAGCTCAATGAAGCGGTGAGTAGGGGGGTTGAGAGCGCCAGTGACGATGGATTAAGACACAAATCCCCGAGGTGTTAATCGGAACTTGTTTTGCCTGACCAACCACATAAAAGAAAAGAATCTCAAAGTGATGACAAAAACTGATTCATTGTACACAGAGAGCTAAATAAAACAAGGTATTTAAAAAGAAACACAATATATTATCAAAACAAGTAGCACATATGCTCCTCCACTGGAGTACAAGTTAAAACAAAGGGTATAATTCAAAATTACCTGACAATAAAATTATTAGATCGTGATAATAAATCCTGCAAAACGTTTACCATGGTACGGGTACGAAGGCTTTACAAATATTTTAATGCCTAAACTTAAACTTACCTGGACAGTGGTCTTCTTCCAGTTACGGCTCTAGGCGCAGCTGAGATGTCCACAGCTCACAAACGCTCAGGTCAAAAACGAGTGGCCAGCAGTGGGCAGTGACGTGAGGAACGTCACAAGGTAGGTACCGTTTGCCTTGTTCTCAAAATGTACGGTATAAAAAAACCTAGATAGAGAAAGACTGCTTAGAAAACTACTCTCTACACTATGTCTGATACAGAACTACACATTTAAAACACGCAAGACTTGAAGAAAAACCATGTACATTATCTTTTACAAGAAAACTAAAGCAAGTGCAAAAAAAGATAAAAATGTACTAAAGTGATATACCCTCAGAAAGTTATCCCTTGTTCTAAAATGAAGTTATGGCAGCCCAAAAATCAAAATCATGATCAATGTAATGTAGTAAATGTAGTAAGCCCAAAAGAAGGTGACATGTAGACACTTCCCTATATTTGAATACGAAAAATGCCAAAGAAAATCAAGAACACTCTAAGAATTTCGGTCAGCAATAATCAATATCTATAAAATAACCAAATAAAATATTTTACCTCTTCACATCAGGGTTAATTTTGACAAGGGGATGAGGTGGCTTCCAGCAAAATCGACTGCGAAACAGCTACAAGGCAGCTGCAAAACAAAGCTGGAGAAGTGTGAATGGTGGTTATCCGCAATGCCTTTCCACTAAAAGGAAGCAGATATTGAACAAACTTTTCTCCATTAATGAACGTGGTCCGATGGTATATAAACGAGACCTTATCGCTGAAGGTTAAAATCTCATTAGAAAATGGACGGTATAGCACAAAAACCAAAAGAACTAAACGTAAGGTACCAAATAAAAGATATTACTCCATAATCTGGTGTTTGGGGGTCTAAATCTCAGAATCTAAAGGCTACGAAGCGACTCACGCACAACCAAACCTCATCAGAAAGAAAAGAAAAATGGCGCTGGACGCGTCTGTACCCGCAAATTTTTAAAACAAGGTATCTTGATAGGAAAAGAAGGTATCTCGATAGGCAAAGAAGGTATCTTGATAGGAAATCAAATATTAAAAGAAGGTATCTTGATAGGACCAAATATCCCTATACGGCTAGTACGTAAAGAAATGACAAGGTGGCGCTGGTTGCCAATGGGTGGAACCAACTCTACGAGGGACCAACGATATTTCATGAGGAAATTTCTGAGATAGTCGTCAAAAATACTAGGTATAACAATAGTGTCCAAAAGATTTAAACACAATATTGAATCGCGAAAGAAAGATATAATACGTGTGAAATTATACAATCAATAAACTATGAAATTTGTTAAAAGAAAATCATTAAAAAGGGGTTTGTCCTAGGAATCGGCAATCTACCATTAATAAAGAGAAATTCAAATTACTGGTAAGTGATCAACATAGTAAAAAAAAGGTTACGTGATTTTGGCACGTGACAACCCCCAGAAATTGGCTGCGTTCCACCTGTGGATATTCAATAGCAATAAATAGTAAAGTTGTAAGCCATAAATTAAAATATGAACGTAAAAAGCACAGCATCTTTGTAAACATTGCTTAAGACATTCATAATCATGATATATCATGATATAAAGGTATTATGGTTAGAAATCTATGCAGTACAGTATAACAAAGGAAATACTCTGTAAATGCTCACCAGTGGAAGCTTACCTGGGAACAAGTGCCTAGAGGAATGGAATGAATATCATAAACAGGTCTAAGGGCGGTCTCGTTGAGTGACATTAATCAGACTTGTGAACCTTCTAGAAGGGATTCGTGTACTACAGGGTTGAATTCGCTTTTGAAAAATGCATTTGAAATATTTCGTATGCTAACACTTTTATTGTCTGAAACGTACATTCCAAAAATGGGAATATACCTTTTCGTGTTTACTAGGGTATTATTTGTAGTATACCAATAATCTGTGATATCAACCCAACTTGCATTATAAAGCAGCTATTTTTGGTTCGTTTGTTGAAACAACTGTTTTGGAAGCTAAACATCGCAATATTTTAAATTGGCTGTAAATACACCAAGAAAACGAAACATCCGAGTCTCACTTCAAAGCAATATATCTCGTTTGGAAGTTTACCTTCCGCATTTGAATCTGCAAATAGCTGAAACATTTTCGTATCGGGCGACAGTTATTGCCCTATTGAAATTATTTATTGGTCATAACTCAAAATAGTATACACAAGCAAACTAATCATAAGACTCAACATTGAAAATTATTATTACCCCATTTAAGCGCCTGAGCGCGTAGACTGGACAAACTGAACAATACAAATGAGGTAAATAAAGTTTGGTGATGCAGTAACGCAGGTATTATTTTAAATTGAGGTACTTTGCTTTGATATTCGTGAATACCTTGCATTGTGAGACAAATTCGATATACCTATAGCTAATTTATTTTAATATTTTTTTGTTATTGATCAATCACAATAAAAAGAAATTACTGGTATTGTTACGGTCACGTCCGAAATATTAACGTTGAGGTCGAATGTCCCTTTTTTTAACTGCCTGTTTGAAGCAGTATTCTAAATCCTTTTACTTCCTATGCCAAAACTGGCGAGAAAGTATTGTAATCGCAAAAAATTTCGAAATTTAGATATGTTTTTTGGATTTTATATGACATTGCACTACCAAAAAAATTATATTTTTATTTTTACGCTCCCAACCCCGTCAATTTTATGCACCCATTAGCCATATTTCATACATCATAGATTCACTCGTACATTTGCTTTTAAACATTAGAATGATAGAGAAAATTTTTCGATCCGCGTACTCCTGGGAACCAGAAACGCCTGGCGAACCAGTCCGGCTTATAAATTCGTACTGAATTAGGGATGTTCGATACGATCCGATATTCAGAAGTATTTTGCTTCCGATACCCGATATTTTGGATCGATATTCTTATATACGTTACTTGGGTTTATCGATACATTTCACGTATCGTTATCCTCCGATCCAGACTGTGTCAGAAAGAGTGACTAACTTCAGATTACTTTTCTTCTTCGTTTCCTTCCGCTGGTGCTACTCACTTCACGACCTCACATAATTTATTTTGGATTCTACGGTTGCCATATTTTTGGGTTTTCCCCAAAAATCAGGGAAATTTTTATTTCAATGTAAAAGATTTTGGGGATATTTTTTTCTAGGACTCTTTTTTGGGGAAACATATTTTACTGGGGAGATAGTTTTATATAAAATTTTATTAACGGCATTACATAATGTGCTTGTTATATATTTACTTGTCTTTCGATTCGCAACAAATACTTTTATCTTTTGGGGTATATAACGACATGCGAAAAATATGTCGCTTAAAAAATATTTAAAGATCCAAGAAAACCTAACAAATCGTGAACCTATGGTAACAAAAAATAAATAGTATTTTTGGGGAACATTTTTTAAAAGTCCTAAATTTTGAGGATTTTTACATTCCGACTGAAGACACTGAGCTATACGGCCTGGCAACCCTTTTGGAAATCGGTCGCGGGGAATTACACACACATGACACACAGCTTTTTTAGTATTGATGGATTAAAGATTATAGTTTAAAATAAAACATTTATCTTGTAAGTCATCCGTTATGTAAGAAGTGATTTATGGAGCTATTTTGTAAAATCGAGTTTAGGTTGGGAGATGTAAGTTATGCAATTGTGAGGTTTTTACCTATTTTTATTAGTGAACGTACTTGACAATCTAGTCTTGCAGTTTAAAAAAGTAAACATACATTATTTTGAGGGTCGTAGAAAAAACAACATCGATTTTCGTCAGTGTATGTTCCGTATCGAGAGGTTTCGATACTAACTTGTGGTATCAATATTTTTTCCCGATATTTTACAGTATCGATACTTCCTAAAACGATACAAATCGATGCATGGTATCAATACTTTTCGTGGATCGGAACATTCCTATACTGAATCCCAAAAAACATACGGAGCTTAAACGAATCAAATGAGATGCCGCGCAGATGTGGAAAGGGACAACATTGCTTCATGGTCGGTAACTACCACTAGGGCAGGGAAAGCTGCGTATGGGCCTGTTTGACTAACGTTTAATCTTTCTGTTCTACATATCCGTAAGTCAATATTTTCTCAGAGGATTTAAATTACGCTGAACTCAATCCTTTATGAACTGATGACAGCGTTGAGTAGGTGTGCATAGTCAACCCACTTGATGCCATGCCCTGATTATTGGTATATGGTGTGTAGACAGATGACTAATGAACAATGTTTGTCAAAAGATGTATTTTTGTGCATTTATAAATTTTTAGCAAATATTAGTATAGCTCTGAAATTGTATGTAAAATTGGACTTTTATAGTAGAATTGAGCGGATGGTTACTTTTGTTCTTTTTTTTCTCTTTATTCTTGATTTACTTAAAACGTAATTTTGCAACAAATTGGGTTTTCAAGAAAAAAAAAGATTCTTCTGATGAGAGAAAGTGATACGAATAAAAGTAATCATCCACTCAATTCTTCCATAAAAGAGGAATATTCACCTACAATTTTAGGCTGTACTATTATTTGTTAAGTTATGATTGGAGAAAAAAAATGAAGAATTACCGGGGGTGGCAGTGGATAAGTATCCTACCCCCTACAACCCCAAAACCTCGATTTTTAACCCCTACAAAAATTTTTCTGAAAATGATCAACTCCCTCTAAAATGTCAGAAAAATTAAGTTAGATCGATGTTTGTGTTTTTCATTTTTTGCCTCTAGTTCCGCCGCCACTGGCCGATTTCCAAAAACTACAAACCATAGTAACCTGGTTTTAAAATGTCATCGAAATACGAGCGGTACCTTTTAAGTTATAGACGGGCCAAGAATTAGCGGGCAGACTGACAGACTGACGGAAATAAGTGACATCAAGCAATTTTACCATAATAAACCGCGGTTATTCCTTGGTCATGCCCTTGATTATCCTGTCATTTGCCGTTCTGACATAGAACACGAAACTGAGAACAAAGTTGCTAAACGCAACTGTTTTGTGGCCCAACGTCAACGATTATAAATATAATTCAAATATAAGTAACAACGGATGACACCGTAGAAACTCAGTAATTCTACGACTGTTGTTATTTGATATCTTTTTTTGTACTGAGAACTTTTTACGGAAAATTATGACACATACAACACAAGAGGCTTAAAATAATAGGGAAGAGTTATGTTATATTCGTAGTTTTATGTTTGACATACAAGAACCGCATAAAGCAATTTTCTATCTATCAATCATAACCGGTCGACTTGGTTTTAACTTTTCCGTTTCAAGCAAGGTGGTTTGTGACAGCTGTCAAATATTCTCCTCACGATATAACATAACCATTTCATATTCTTTTGTGCCTTTTGTGTCGATGACTTATAATTTTCCGTAAAAAAACTGTGAAAAAACGGATATCAGATGACAATAGGCGTAGAAATACTGATTTTATATGGAGTCATGCATTGTTTTATTCTGCAGGATTTATAAAATAATTAGGTGCGCTTTTAATATATAGTCAACGCCAAACAAAGTGGCGTGCACGTCATCAAGGTGGGTGTGTTGAAAAATTTACATTGTTGCCAAACTTTTTGTAAAATAATAAAATTTATTATTTACATATCTAGGTTTATAAGCAATATTAACCTCAAATGAGAACAAAAATAATAGTATAATAAAATTATAGATCTGTACTTGCATAATCATTAAGTATGACAATTATTGATCAGATGACACTATGAAACTACCATATTTAATTGATAGCTTATACGGACTGAATAAAAATATAAATGGGGTCCTCCAAATTTTATGCATGGTATTTATTTTACAGAATTCATACAGAAAAATGCATTCTAAAATTAGGTAAGCTACTGGTGTAAGCTTTTTCTGTACAATAAAGTTAGTCGGAGTTTCTTTCTTCGGCGCTGTCTGAATCTGAATCTTCATCACTCTCAAAGTTGATTATTAGGTTCGATGTCTGGTCGATCAAAAATTCGTTCTCTTTCATACCATTTAAAAATTTCTTGCTCAGTATGTCGAACACTATTTTTCCATATGTCTGGGGTAACCGTTTGTAGAGCCTCGTTCCACATATCCAAACAGTCTTTTTCACTGTTACCATCTCTACCAATATGTCTGTTATAGTAACCTTTTGCTATGCCCCAAATTAACTCAATAGGGTTAAATATACAATGGTAAGGAGGCAGACGAAGAACTTTGTGCCCATGTTGTTCCGCCAATTCATCAATCACGTATATTTTAGGTGGTTTGTTTCTAAAAAAGCAGTTATTTTAAGAATAGGAATAAACAAAAGAAATATAAACTGTCGACCAAAATATATATAATTAAGAAGCATTATGTACCGAGCAACAATACTCAATAGCTCTGTTTTAAACATTGTGTTTAAAAATGGTATGTTTTGATTTGTCAACCAGTCTTGGATATTTTTTTTTGTCCATGCATTGTTGGGCACTTTGTTCAATATCATGCTGTGATAAGGGGCGTTATCCAGTATAATCATAGATGGACTCTCCAATTTTTCTAATAACTGATGTTGAAACCATTTCAAAAAATTGTCCTGGTTCATCTCTCCATGGTAATCGCTCAATTTTGTTTTCGAAGAAAATATCGCTTCACTACCCTCAATAAACCCATTTTCATTTCCAGCATGTAATATAATGTATCTAAAATATATTAGTTTTAAATTTTATAGTGCAAATTGTGTAAAAGTACATACCTTTTACCATCTGTTTTAATAGCTTTCACGCTTTTTTGGTTTCCATTTTGCCAAGAGCGACCTATGGTCCCATTTTGAAATATCCAAGTTTCATCGAGGAAGACAAACTGGTATAAGGCCTCAACCTTGGCTTGATTGTATTGCCTTAGAAATGCCACCCTTTTCAAAGCTATACTTGGTAGTTCCATGAGCCCTCGTCGCGGATTGTCCTTAAGCCACTTAAATCCAAGATCTCTAAGCAACCGCCTTAAAGACGTGGCACTACCATCAAATAATGCCCTATCTCTTAATCGAGACCATAAAGTTTGTATCGTAACTTGTTCTTTTGAAACCATGTGTAATATGACATTATAATTTAGTTAACAAATTAATGCAAATTTCTGATAAGATATTATAATAAGATCTTACTTTTGTGATACATATTATAGATCACTTCTCGAATGGCACTTGTATCCAATGTCGCTGTGTTGGTTACACGTTTAATATAACTCCGCTTTTTCTTGGGCGATTCTAAATTTGCATCACTTTTCACAGCCTCGGAAATACGACTAACTGTCCTTAAACTAATTTTTAAAGCAGCAGCAACACGCTACAAAAAATGAAATAAAATTTCACTATTATTAATATACATTACATATAATTATTAGTAACCTACCTCTTGAACAGCATTTAAAGGCAACAAAGGCCCGTTGTTGTCCCTTTCTTGCTCAAAGTAGTGCATTAACGAGGCCACGAGTTCCTTACACCGACTATTTAACTGTTTGGGCATCTTTATATACCAAAATTGCCTTTATCTACTCGTAAAATGAATAATTTTGTTTTGAAACAAACAGTTGTTGATTTACAGTATGCGGGGCCAAAGGATTTATAAAGATTTGAAATGCCACAAATTGATTCAGTGTCAAAATTAATACAAATGTCAGTTCCCAGTTTAAATAAGTTTCAAGGTGACAATGTGTCAACGCTGCGAAATCGGTTTAGTGCGTTTACATGTCGATAAGTGATTGGAGCGTTTGCAAAACATTTTATTTCACATAATGCGTCTAAATTTATCAGAAAGCAACTTATGTGATATTTTAATAACAATGTTTATATGACTATTAACCATAATAAGAGAGTAATGACCATTTTACAATTTATATATCACATTAATATGAAACTGCAATAGAGCAATTGTTTGTGATAGAAACCTAGGCATTAGGTCGGGGAATTTTTATCGTGATGACGTGCACGCCACTTTGTTTGGCGTTGACTATAATATAAAAGCATTTAGTTATATTTGAGTTATATTTATAAACTTTGTCGTTGGATCACAAAATAGTTGCGAGTAGCTACCTTGCTCTAAACTCCCTTTTCTGTGTCAGAAGAGCAAATCACAGAATAATCAAGGGCATAACCAAGTAAATAACCGCGGTTCATCACTTAAAATTGCTTATGGAGACCACCAACTGAGCGAGATCTTGATCTTAATTGTCATAAACGGTGACGTCGCAAAAGGCCAGCTCGTAACATCGATTGGTATATAGATTGGTAGATGTACATATATGTCATATAATATCCAAAAAACATCATATCTCAATTTCAATATCTATATATCTCAATATTTTAACAAAATACCTGAATTACCTGTTGAGACATCCTTTATTCACACTGTTCTTTATTTGATTCAGGGTAGAACGTTCTAGCGACCAGGTAATTAAGCCAGTGAACATGGAAGCACTGGACAAATGGGTGGGTCACATCCCAGAGGACGTAGTTCGAGACATGGCAGATTTGGCACCAATGCTGTCCGTGTTAGGTTATGACCCATACGCTAACCCGCCAAAGTATGGCAACGCTGATGACGTCGTACTACACAACACCCACGAGATCAAAAGAAATAGGTAGGTTATGTCATGACATACCGGTGATTTAGAGGTATTTTCTTCAACATTTATGGATTCAAGTGAAACATTGAATCTTGAATACCCGGAAAGTCGCGTAATTAATGATTTTCGCCGTTCAATAATATTTTACGGATACCTAAATACGCCAATCTTTAATACCACTATTGAACTGATTTTGTTGATGCTTTGCGCAATAACAAAGTTACCTTAGGGTGAAGTTACGTAGGGGTAACGTAAATCTAGTCGGACTTTTAAAAAATACAGGGCTGAATTCGTTTTTTAACTTTGTTGTATTTTATCAAAACACATTTTAAGCTAAATAAATGATATAAATTATTTCGGTATTTTTTTATTGACATAATTCTACCATATACAACAACATGAGTTCTTCTGTAAAAGAAACGGATTTCAGTATACAATCCACTAAATTTAACTTTCCATACAAACTTTAAGTTGAGTTAAAAATACTCAAAGACGTGGTATACGGCTCCAGATGTGACATTTTAATGTGTGATGTACCTATGTGTGCATTGTGTAACTTGAGCTAATGTAAGGTTTTGGTGAGAGCATGTTAAACGTAACTATGCTGAATATTGAATTTTTCTACATTTTCATCACACTTATAGTATTGAAATTTTAAGTTGGCCTGGAAGGTCAAATTCAGTGTATTTGCATGCTGAATGCTGTTTTCACTTGAAGCAGAACTCATCAGTTGGTAGATCTCAATTATAAAAAAATTACTGAAAAAATAAATAAGGTGCATAACAATAATTTTGTCTTTTATTTATGTGATTTATTGGTCTTTTTTTGCGAAATGATAATATATCCAGAAAAACAGTTACAGAGCGTTGCACTTGTTAAAATACAAAGAAATGAAAAAACTAGAATGTTGAGCTGTCAAAACATATCTAGATCCATTCTAAGCACTACTTTGTGAAATGTTAATGAAATCAGGTTGTTAACGAAAATTTGATTTTTGTGTCACATAAACTGACAGAAAAGATATTTGAATAAATAAAAAGATTTAAGTAAAAAACCAAAAGTAAAGCAATCAATCTATTTCGCTAACTAATAAGCACTGCGCATTGACTTTTTATACATAGCGTGTGTTTATACATTAGCATGTCGTCTACGGGTACAGCAGATGAAACTGAGAATATTTCTCCCAATGCTTCCTTCTGCCATACTTCCTCTTCAGTGCTGTCTCCTCGAAAACCTGGCAAAAACGGACATTTGAGTATTCAGGAAAAAGAAATTGTCCTTCATGTTTACACGAGCGAAATCTTAGAGCACGCTGAAATGAAAATTCATGGTACTGAATGACGTGTGGCGAACAAAATAGGCTTATGTCCTTCTTCAACATTGTTAAAGAATATAAAAAAAACTAAAAATTGTCTCCACCACACAAGAGGCTGCATTACACGATGCTGTTGGATACAGTTGATAACTTTGATCTGAATGCCATCAGACGCAAAGTCCATCAATGTTTTGAAAGGCAAGAACTTCCCACCATAGACAAAGTATTACAGGAGGTTAATAGTGATGAACATACACACTACTTTCAAAAGGACCACATTCTACAGCTTATTCAAAGAACTTTATTTTATAGAAAAAGGGACAGAAATAGTATTTTGATGGACAGCCAAGAGATTATTTTATGAGAAGAAATTATTTAAAATCAATAAAGAAATACCGCGACCAGGACAGGAAGATTTATCACTTGGATGAAACCTGGATAAATGCAAGACATACAAAACCTAAAATATGGGCTGACTCTACAATTAAATCAGCAAGATAAGCCTTCTTAGATGGACTAACCACTGGCCTAAAGAATCCATCAGGTACGTGTATCTAACCAATTCGTCATTTGTGCTGTAAAACTGGTGTCAAGTAGACTGAATCTATGAGCCCACGCTGAAACTACACTAAACTTAGCTGTATCTGGTACATTTGGAACCAACACCTTTTAGATACTCTGCTTGTATTATTATTAGTTTTCTTGAATACTACCTATATGAAATAATTATTTCCAGGAAAAGGAAAACGATTTGTTATCTGTCACATTGGCAGTAAAGATGGCTCTGTGCCCACTGCCCTATGGGCATTTGAGTCAAAGAAAACGACCGACTACCATGAAGAAATGGACGGGAGTTCATTTGAATGATGGTTTGAAGAAACACTCCCAAAGCTTGACGACAATGCCGTCATTGTACAATATACCTGATATTGCTGCATACTACACTAGAAAACTAGAAAAAATTCCCACAATGTCCACAAGAAAGGCAGAAATTTAACAAATGCTCGTATCAAAAGACATTAATTTCAATGAACATATGGTCAAGCAGAACTTCTCCATCTAGTCAGGCAGCACAAATATAAATATAATCTTAATGTTATTGGCGAAATGGCTTTAAAACAAAATAAACCAGTTTTAAGGCTACCCCCTTATCACTGCGAATTAAATCCCATTGAAATGATTTGGACAAATATAAAAAGCTATGTGGCTTCAAACAATAGAACATTCAAATTTTCTGACGTGAAAATTGATTTATGAAGCTGTCAACAGAGTGACGGCAAACCATTGGGAAGATTGCATCCGTCACGTTCAAGAGACAATCGAAACAAAGATGTGGGATCTGGACAATATAATCGATATTCAAATTGAACCTGTAATATTTAATATTAACCATTTGGACGATGATTCAAATACTTCAAGCGAATAAAGAATTGTGAAAACTATGTACACTTCTTTCTATAAAAATAATCATTTATTTTGTTAGATTATTCCAAGACCATTAAGGAAAATACGGACCTGTACAATCTCGCTTCTGGGCATGTTGTATTTTGTCTTGGCGTAAATCGAATACTAATGGGGTATCGATTTGTTACTCCTAGATAACTTTGTTGTTGTGCAAAATTTCAAAATCGCTACCATAGTGCCTCATATATGTGATATTCATGATTTAGCGTGTTTAGATAAATCACCCTATATATCCGTAAACATGAACTTCATACTACCTACCATTTCACTATGCCCGTTTAAACCCGGAATGCACTATTTCTTGCACAATATTTGATAATATCGCTGTTTTGCGCCCGCATTCTTTTGCCTTGCATTCCTTAACTGGCAGAAATATATACATACAATGAGTTTTATAAGGATTTGTTTTATTTTATTTTTCAGATCCGAATGGGACAAAAAAGCCAAAGAAATGTTCAACATGGAGTGGGATGCCAACAATAACGACCCACAAATCGATAGAGAAACGAGCGAAGGGCCCAACAATGGGACGTGACGACTAGGTTGGACATTTCAGTGGACATTGGATCAGTTTCAAGAGGCAGACAATATCTAGCTTATATCCACGATTATGTGTCAAAACAGCAGATTGCTTATTCATTTTGTACTGTGTATAGCTGTAAGGTATGCCATATGTGTACATTTGAAATTATTGGAATTGCTAACAGCGTTGATTAACGTATCTTACCTGAAGATAATCAACCTAGTACTATATTCCCGCCGTTAAAAAAATTATGCGAGATGAAATGAAATACCGTCATCTATGAGAATTTCTCACGGGTATGTTTATCTTTTTAGCATCATATACAGTAGCGGACACAAGTTTGGAAACATTCTTAGTAATTTTTAAAAAGTGCGCTAATTTTTTATTCTTTATTATTAAGGACTATTTTTTTCTCATATTCACATTAACATTTTTTAGTCTTAACCAGTCCTTTACGAATTTTGAGGTATGCTTGGGGTCATTATCTTGCTGGAATATGCATCGTAAAGGCATTATTTCTTCTTCAGTAAAAGGGAGCATGTGCTTACTAAGAATATCTTTGTAAAGTTTTTGATTAATTTTCCCAACAATTTTAACGATTTGGACCCGTTCCAGAACTAGAAAAACAGGCCCAAACCATGATGTTGCCTCCACCGTGCGTAACTGTTGGCAACGGATACTTTTTGTCGAATCTTTTTCGTATTGGACGTCTCACATATGCCATACCGTCAGATACAAACAAGTTAAATTTGATTTCATCGCTCCATAAAACTGTATTCCATTGTTGTTATGTCCAAGTTAGGTGAGTTTTAACAAATTCAAGCCGAGCAATACGTTTTTTTTTAAATGAGAGGCTTTTGCACTGGACGCCTACCAAAATGCCCAAAATCCACCAAGCATCTCTGCACTGTTCTGGTTCTCGGCACCCTCTTCTACGATTCTTTTGAAAATCTGTGTGGCTGGAAGTCGAGGATCTTCATGGAACAAACGTTTAATGAAACGATCCAAAACATCATAGTTTTTTTTCGGTCTTCCGCACCTGGGCCGCGTTGCTGTTGATACGCATTCTTTTTACTAATAATTTTCGAAATCGTCCCTTCATTTTTAGTCTTTGAGAAATGTCAACATTTCTGGTACCACTTTTAAATAATTCAATTACTTTGTCTCTTAAATATTTTGAAAACTCTTTTACTTTTGCCATTCTCACTGATGTTAATATTTACCTCACGCAATATCAGAGTATCGCAGAACGAATAAATATGACAAAACTGAAAAGTTTCCAAACTTTTGTCGTTACAAAAACTGTGGTATTTAAAAAAACGCGTGTTTTTGTTTTCAGAGCTTTTGAATATTGATAAGATCAACCTTGTATTAGTACTGGGGCCAAAGGTAGACTTTAATATATTATCTGTTCCTTCACAATTTTAATTTAGGTATATGAAATAGTTCATAATAATGTTAATAATTGTTTCCAAACGTTTTTCGCTACTGTAGAAATCTACTATGAAAAGGTTAATGTCTGATAGCGGGCGCTGATGCCAACTATATTGACCTGAGTTGACATCCATACATACCGAGCAGACCTGAGACCGTGGCTGTTTAGCTCGTTTTTGCAAATGAAAAGGTCCTTGCAGAAAAAGCGCAAACCTAACCTAATCATATTAGTACATAATAGAGACACAGCCATTAAAAGAGGTGGTGGGCGGTGTACGTGCATTAATTATTGTAGGGCTAACCTTGGGAGGTACTGTTTTTGAACAACAGTTACAATATAATTCTAACAGGGTTAGAATGGCGGTCTGTCTTTGGATATGCCTTAGTTGCAAGTTTTTTTATGAACTCACTGGGAGGAAGAATATTGAGGTCTGAATGTAGCGAATAATACAAAACAAACCCTGATGGAGCGAAGCGCTATATGTTGGATTACCTATAACGCATGCATGTGCTTCTTAGCAGCAAAGCACCAAGCCGCACATGGTAGGACTCATGATAGATCAGTATGAGTAATTTATTTGAGGTTTATAATCGACTGTTCCCTCTTAACAGGGGTATAGACGTTTGAAAATCCCTACAGCGTTGATTTGGCCAGACAGAACATGTGGCTTCTAGATTAATTTTCTGTCTATTATCAACCCAAATACTTCACCACCAATTGCCATGGTATGGTTCGATCGAATACTCTCAACTGCTTAGGTGCAGAGTGCCTACGTTTTGCTGGAAAAGCAACTTGGCTTTTTTGTGGATCAGCTTGTATGTTCCACATACAGAAGTATTCTTCCAGTTGACACACCACCGCTTGGGCGGGTATTGACTTAACCACCAGAGCGGTGTCATCGGCGTCTGCGTGGTGATAATTATATTGGTACATAGGATATATTTGGCGCCATCTATGAGCCACTATTTTTTCAAAATAGATTTCTAATTTGTGCAGAGGGGAGAAACTTATTAGCTGTGGCAAATTCGCATAGATGGCGGTACTGATGCGATGTTTCCCTGTTTTTTATGGACTGAGGAAATTGTTTGTAGTCGCAGATAATTGTGGAAATTGTTTTCAAAAAGTATATTGAAAGACAATACTCATTCAAGTTTTCACATCTCAAACTCATAATATGTCAGAACAATACATAGTAACATCATATACAGCTACGGTATCTCATTTCATGTCGGATAATTTTTTGAACGCGGGAATATAGTATTAGGTTGGTTATCTCCAGGTAGAATACATATATCGATGCTAAACGTAAAGAAACTATTGTACAGTGAAAATTCCAATTTGATCTTTGAAGACTTTTCAACCAGCCCAAATAAAAACATAATAATGTTCAGTGCAATATATTTTTCCTGTGGTGCCAATATTTTTGTTAACAGTTTGGTTTAGAAAAAAATAACACTAATAGCTCTTAACATCCATGCTTATAATTTCGAAATCAAACACATTTGGTGGTTGTGACTGCAACCATTGTGCTACTGCTTAAAAATTAGGATATTTTGACCACTACCGAAAGAAAAAGAAAACTACTTTCTACTCCAGTGACTTTTTTTAATCATTTTTTGTTTTTCCGAATAAGTTATTCAGTTTATATGAATCGCCTGTCTTGATAAATGTCTGCCTCTGAGAGATACAAATCCATCATAAACACTAAACATTTTAATTGTGTCTAAATTACTTTCATATTTGTCCATCTTCCCCCAATTTTGATGCGTGTTCAGAGGAAAAAATACATGGAAAAAGCATAGTGGGACCCCCGTAATTGTCATTACAACTTTAAAAGTAACTTTTTAAATAATTGTTACCAGTAGACTGGAAGTCATCCTCATTGTTCATGTTTTTTCTTTTCAAAAATTAGTATTTATATTGACTGTGAAATTTAACTGGTGTCATTTTTTTAATCTAAAACACCTACCCCTATCAATTACGAGATATCATATGTTATTGATTGCTATTTTTTCAATATTATGGGACCAATTTCCAGTGTATTCTTAAAAATACTAATTGCTAAAAGTTTCATTTTATTTTTCTTGCGATTGTCGTACTGTCAATAGTCTTGATATGTGATTTAGCAAAATATGTCAACTTGATCCACTATCATGGCTTTTGTGGAGCTTGACTATTAAAAAGTCAAATCTTACTGAAAATAGACAAAATTCTCCTTCAGTTTGAGAATTTTTGTCAGATCATTTTGGCTGCTAGTAGTATCATTTAAACGGAACGTTGTAAGAAAAGTCCATTTGATGGCGTTTGCGTCATTTTTTACTTAGACAAGAACTAAGTACTTGTTAAATTTATTTCAATAAGATGACTAGTGAGAATGCTTTGTTATGACATTTTTAACTTGTGAATAGCTTTAATGTGGGCATTGTCAAAGATATCAGAGCAGAATGTGTAAAAATATGAAAAATTAGGCATATACATGAATAATGTAATTATTATAGATTTGTTTTAATAAATTGTATTGAATTTTATATACTTGTTTTTTATCGAATCATCATCATATAATCTGGCAATACATCTTTCAAGATCAAGAAATTTAAATTGCCGTGGATCTGCATGAAAATCGCCAATTGTTTTTTCAAAATTGGTTTAAAATGGTACTGAAACTTTGTAAAAAAATACTTGGAAAAACATTTTCCTTTAAGTTGTTCAATTGGGCTACATCTCATAGATGGCAATTATATGCAAAGTGTTATCATACCCAACATAAAATTTAACTAGTCAAATGGAACGGGTACGTTTACGAACGCTGAAATTGTTAAAGGGTAGTGCAAAGTTCACTCTGTAACAATTTACGATCGCAGCCCGGCATGTGTAGAAAATCAGTGATATTTGCTATGTGAGAAAATCATAACTGAATATGCTGCCAATGAAGTAGATCTATTAACTGTGCTGGACGAGTTATTTATATGTTGTCTTTTCTGAAGACAGGTTATGTTCAAAGTTATAAATTACGATTTACGATTATTATATATAATTAGAGGAAATCACCAGCGCGCCCGCATTGTGTGTAATTACTATTAGCATGTATATGACTTGTAATTAGATAGTGCACAGTGAATAAAATTATTTCTTATCTCTCTCATTTTTGAAATTCAGCAAATTTGCATATGTAATTTCCATAATGGATAAGAAAAAGTGGATGCGCAACTAATTTCTAGCTTTGAATCTCAAGTAAGTGTATTTGAGACAAGAGTCCAATGGAATTATGATCAACGCAATAACACATATTAGCACACAAATCCTCACTATGCATTGCCGTTACCTCCAGTAATGCCATCTCCGAAGCAGATTTTACATCAGCCAAACTTTGATAACTGAAGCCTCATGACGTTTAGGCAACACGTACAATGACAAAACGAAAATGTATAAAAACCTACATAATTTCACAAAAAACCAATATAATGTCGAAAAAGATCGACATAATGTCACTTTTCAAGATACGTAATACGCTTTCTGTTAATGGCAACGCACCCACAAGCAAGAATCAAACATATTTCCGTGAAGGGGACTGAAAGTTGAAAAACAAATCTTCCCCTTTGGGTTTACTGAACAAATTTCGGCAGCTCTAGGTAGTCAAACAAAGCGGTGGGCCTACTAATATGCAGCGCCATCTATCTGAAAGTGGTAGAATTAAAAATGTATTCATCTTCGCAGTTTTCTTGAATATTTTGATGTAATTTGGTATATTTTAAGATATTGAGTTGTGTGGCTTAGAAATATTACATCTCTCAACTTTACAAATATTTTCAACATAACATTGCCACTCTATATAATATAAAGCTGTTAAAGTGACATCACTGTATACAGATTTCATATCTTAAAAGGTATCATTAAGTAAAAATTGGTCATAGGAGTAGCAACACTGTGACAGCATCAAATGCAAACTGACAATCAGCGATCTGCCCTCTTGCTCGAACTTTCTATCGCTGCTCGTTCTTCAGTATATTCCTGTTATCATGGTTCTTCCCTAACATGGTTTTCAATCATTTTTCCCCAGTTTTGATATTTGAATTTTAGTTTAAAATGCAAGTAGCCATCATAGTTGGGTTAGATAAGTATCCTTTCTAAACTAAAATTCGTTATTCAAAAGCAATTGCCACACATAAATCTTAAAAATAGTAAACGCATCTTATTCCATCCTCTATCTGTATAGTAAAACGCTGAATATAAAATGTACACGCAAGTATTTGTTTTTAAAGGAAAATGTTCAAAACCTCATATATGTTCTACTTTAACGACGTGCGACCGACGCTTCCACCCTAAAATCCCTAAAATTGTTGTCAGCATATTCACTGTACCTGTGAAACCACGAATCTAACGTATGCTCTTGTATACTTTGATACCACTCGTATGTCCACCCCATTTTCAAATCGATTTTAAAAACGTTGAATTGGTCATCAAAACAGGTATTTCAAAATAAAATAATTTGAATGTGCGGGTCTTACAATTTTTCAGATACAGCGAATGCCCTATCAAAGCAAGCATACAATTTCAAGAATTTGGGTGCTGCACCATCAAAACACATACACACTTTCAAATATATGGTGAATGCGGCGTTACGATACGTTTGAAGTTTTAAAAAATGGTGAATGTGCCAGCTATGCTATACGTATGTGATTTTGCAATATGTTTTCTTTACACCGAAGCAGCCGCGCAGGCATCAGCCTAAATGCCTGAGCATCACGCCTGCTATGAGGTGCTAAAAGCAACTTTATTAATCCGATTTTTTAACTTCCCAAGGTTAGAACAACTGGAAAAAGCCTCCTCATGTAGATTGTTACTCAGTCTCGATACAATAAGGACAAGGGAGCGGTCGAACGTCAATTACGAGGGATATCTTGCGGCAGAGGGAAAGTCAGCCACCCATCTGCGTCTCTGGGAAGGGTGAAAGTTTGAGCAACGACATGAGCCTCGCCGTAAGACTAGATGAGTTTGCTCCACAGTTGCGTCACGTAAGCTAGGAGGATCCCTATGGATCGCCGGTGCCGGAAACCATACTGCCTGTCGCTAATCAAGCCGTGACGTTCGAAATCCTCCAAGAAGCACCCGATTTATGCACCTCTCCATCACCATATAGGCCTGTAGTTGCATCATTACATTACGGATGCATATATTTTGATATGCCATAAATGTAAGTGCGCATAATAACTTCAACATTATTTACCTTAACCATGGCTACTTCTAGACGCGAAGGTCGACACAGAGTAGCCAGCCGCATGGGTTTCTTGTCAAGTGACAATGTGATAACCACAACGCGATAATTTATTACCCACCGTGAAAAAGAGTGAGATAACAAAAATTAGAATTTTTGGGTACATCTCTTCATCGCTGATATAGACCGAGGGAGCTTCAATGGAATAGTCTGGCTACCGATGCTGGCGATGTTCCCATGGCATCTTTTTCAGGGAGGGCTCTAAAATGGTGAAGACTAGGAGTGCTGTAATCTGGAGCATACTTTTAAAAGTTTTAGGTCTACTGATAAATAGAAAGGGATTAAAATTTTAACTCGAAATTTCGCAAAATAGCTTAGATATCCCACCTTAATGTTAATAATGTGTTGGAGCCCCTGTGTTCGCTACAGATTCATTAAGTCGCCTCGGAATTGATTGAATTAGGTGATTGATGCCTTCTTGGTGCATTGTATCCCAGACCATCTGAATTTGGTTTCGTAGAGCCTCCAATGTTTGTGGATGATGCGGTGAATTTTCTCTCGTGTCCCATACATGTTCGATGGGGGAAATGTCTGGAGATCGAGGAGGCCACTGAAGCAGATTTACGCTTTTAAGAAGTCTAAAGTAATACGTGCGACATGAGGTCATGCATTGTCCTGATGAAAAAGTGGATCTTGCAAAGTTCCCCAAAAGGGGAAGCAGATGTGGTTGTAAAACTTTCTGGACATAGCTCTGGTCATGCTACCTCAAATGAACACTAATCGTGACCTGCTGCCGTAAGTAATGTCAGCCCATACCATAACACCCACATTGCGATGAATATGCCGTTCGATTGGATATTGGACATGCCGTCTTTCACCACTTCTCCTCCTTACTCTTACACGGCTATCATGTGTGCCCGAGCAGAATCTGGACTCATCGTTGAACACGACTGAGTTCCATTCAATATTCCTTTCAAGTATCTCCCTACTCCATACCAATTGTTGCCGAAGATGCTGTAGGGTCAGAGGTAGTACAAGTTGGAGACGGTATGAAAACAGTCCAAAAGACATTATTCGGCGATAAACTATTATCGTTGTTATTGCCCTTCCGGCAGCATCAAACCACAGGTTTGCAACGGCCCTTCTTGTGGAAAACCGAAGTGCTAGTTGCCTCAAATGACGATCCTGTCGCTCTGTAGTCTGTCTTTGGCGTCCAGTACATCTAACTCGTCGATTTCGGCTTTCTTGCAACTACGCTCGACTACATCTCATTACACTAGCTTGGTTTCGATTCACCCGATTAGCGATTTCTCTAAAAGAAAATCCATCACGTAATCAGTTTATCCGACACCTCTCAAGCTCGAAAAGTTGAGTGAAATTAGCATGTCTGCGTACTCTAGGCATGATAATCCAATGAGAGAACAATGAAACAAATAGAACCAACACAGAAAGTCATGCGTCGGCTTGGTCAACAGAGACCTGTTGGCCTCTTTGAACAGGAAAAATTCGAGTCTTCCTTAGACGCTGTCAAGCTCACTAAGGTATTACAAATTCATGACAGTTTTCCTCATTTCACCATAGAGGAACTGGGAACCACCGCCAAGTCTGGAAATCTCCAGGCCCGGAATGTGTCCTGATCGAGATCATAAAAGTGATAGCTCTCGAACAGCCAATTATTCTTTTAAATATACTGTGTGGCAAAAAAAGGTAAACACTACGTATGTTTATCCGATTTTAATAATTTTTGGCATATATGTTCAGTGTTACTAGTAAAATGATTTAATTTTCAGCTTGATTCGTCAACTGACTGAAGAAGCTGGTTCAATAATGTATTGAGGATCCACGATTTCTTATACACTGATTCACATGCCTAGGCATCGTGCTGATAAGGGGGTCGATATCCTATTGAGGTATCACATTCCAGGCTACTGCAACTTCGTGAGTAAGAGCTGCTAAAGTCTGCGGAGGGTGTTGCAAATTCAAGAGCCTGCGATCTATCATGTCCCAGACATCTTCAATTGGAGATATGTAAGGCGATCGTGGTGGCCAAGGTAAACGATTGATACGCTGTCGATCCATGAAAGCTAACGATGCTCTGGTAGCATGCGGTCTGGCATTGTCTGGCTGAAAAATCGGGTTTTGGATGGTGTTGAGTATGGAATAAGATGAAGCTCCATGACTTCCTGAATATAGCGTCAAGCTGTCATATTGCCTCTGATGAAAATGAGTGATGATCTACTACCATACCCTATACCATAACTCCCACGGTGTGGTGAACGTGCCGCTCTCTGTCAAATTGTGGGTCACGTCCTTCAC